CCTACCTCCGAACAAAACCACGACACACTTACAGAGACTGAGAGGACAACCCCCCGTCCCACCAAACAAATGGACTCGAGAACCCGGACCTCCGGGGCAGGCCCCTCTGCCAGATACACAATGTAGAGTGGAGTCACACGCACCCTATCTGAGGAAACGGACAACCACCCTACCACAAAGAGACTCCATTGCTAAAGAACCGGAAACGGCACCGCAGACATCCCCTAAAAATCCCACAACCTATCTCCCAACCCACCCGGACCCCCGCAAGACCTCACAACAAAGACTTACGAGAAATGAACCTCGCACCTGCGACACTACCACACACAATGGAAGACACACACTACCACACAACCCACAACACATACACCCAACAGCTTTGCTTTTTATACAGAACTAAAATTCCAAGTTACATAACTACCCCAAGTTATAAAAAAGAAAAAGAGGAATAGTAGGAGGAAAAACTCCGTCATGTAAACGGGAGAAATCCTCCCACTAAAGCTACCCCCGAAAAAAGCATATATGGGCTAGTTAAATAACACAATGTAATACATATATCTAAAATAACCTTTATTATAAACACCACTTAAACACAGAGTGCAAAACCCCAAACCAAATAAAAGAAAGAAAAATGCAGACTAATCTTGGCTATAAATAACTGCTAGATAGATCTATAGCAATATGAGTGTAACAAACTCAAATTGTTACATTGGCGTAATAAGTACAAACAATGTAACAATATCTATTTGAAGGATCAAAAAACAGTAGAGATGTAAGTAACAAGCCGAAATGGTACTAAGCTGTAACCCTATGTGTACCAATAAATGAGGCACTGAAGTTGTCCCTCCTAAATAGATGGAACTACAAATCTCACTAATCCTACATCCCCATGCATATACAGCTATCCTGTTAGTAGTACAAAGGAAATCGAAAGGATAGCAAGATAAGTAGTAGCCCCCAATATATATACTTTTTATAGTGTCCTGTTAAAGCTGATGTGGCAATGAATTGGAAAATATATGTTTTTCTTGATATTTGGATTTTCTTGAAGGACTTATTTTAGGTGAAATATAGGCCTTAATGAGCAGGGAATTATACATGTTTCATCTTCATGAAGTTTTCCAAGGGTTAGTGAGAGTTATACTACCAAGCACATAGTTTCAGAGTAAGTCAATGGTAATAGCTGAACTTGCAGCTGCTCAGGACTGTAATTCTGAATCTCAGACACCACTAGAACACATTTGTTGAGTAAACATCTATCCTTTGGACGCAAGGATTATTATGAATGTCTCCAAAGTCTCTCAATAGTATTTGTTCCCTATAATATGCAGTTCAGCTTTGTGTGTGAGTGTGTGTGTATGTATGTATATATATATATATATACACTATGTATGTCACAAATGTACTATTACGCGGTGCCCGCGCCGCTCCTCTCCTCAGGCCACATGGGCCAAACCCTGTACGTGGTTGCGCGGCTTAATAGTATACTCACCTTCGGTCCCTTGAATGGCTCCCTCTGCAGGTTTGCGGGCTGAACTGCAGCTCCTTAAAGTAATTATTCTCATGACGTCATGCCCTCATCTAGACAACCAAATGCTGTTTGGGGTCTCAAAGATGACGTGGACCAATGGGAACTCTTCTGAACCTATTTAAGACCTGTTTCTATCCTTTACTCATTGCCCTGTCGTGGTTTCTGTTAGATCCTCGTTTAGTGCTCCTAGAGATTTCCTTGTGATTTCCTGTGTTTGACCTTGGCTTCGTATTTAACTTTTAAATTCTGGTATCCTGACCTTTAAATTCTGGTATTTGACTCATGATTTCTGGTATCCTGACCTTGGCTTCGTATTTGACTCGTGATTTCTGGTATCCTGACCTGGCTTTGTCTTGACTCTGAGTATTTCTGTATTCCTGTCCTTGATTTATCTTGACCCTGTTTCTTGTTGTATGAATACGTTAAGTCCAGCCATTCTAACGCTCGGTAATACGTCTTTCAGATCCACCTTTTGTGGGCTTCCTCTTCCCTTCATGTTGAGGTACGACTCCTATGACATTTGCCTTAATGATCGATTAATTATTAACTTCATGTAGTTTGCCAAGGATTAGTAAGATTTATACCACCAAGCAGATAGTTTCAGAGTAAATCAATGGTAATAGATGAACTTGAAGCTGCTCAGGACTGTAATTCCAAACATCAGGCACCACTAGAACACATTTGTTCAGTAAACATCTTTCCTTTGGATGCAAGGATTATTATAAATGTCTCCAAAGTCTCTCAATAGTATTTTTTCCCCATAATACGCGGTTCAGGTGTGTTTGTTGTGTGTGTGTGTGCTTTTATATATATATATATATACTATGTACTTGTTTAAGGTTTTTTGACTATATTTGCAGATGATACATATCCTCTCATGTTTTTTGATGCAAGACACACAATCAGGATCTTAATGCACAAAATTAATCATGTTCTATAATTATCGCCTTGTAAATTGTATTTATTTTGTAGGAGCATACTCCCTATGAGTTTAAATTTTTTCATGTAATGTCATAATTGAACTTAATAACCAGTTGTTATATCAAGAGGTCTATACAAGAAATCTCTCTATGTATACATAAATATACCGAGACACGAAAATAGAGGACATTGTTGTATATGATGTGTCAATCACAATTATTGAGGGTGTTGCTTCACCCCCTTGGTTCAACTGAACCTCTATTTATTCTTACAATGATGGTTTGCCTATTATATTTGATAAAGACCCTAAGGGGCTAAAAGGCACCTTAGCATCTTTAGAAAGGATAACACAAGTTTTGTGTTTTTTATTTATAGATATATGTCACATCACTCCAGAATCATGTAATTTATAATTATATGGTTTTAGGCTTAATAAAGGTCATTTTAAAGTAAATATTCCACTAAAGGAATCCTTTTTCAGGAATTTTATTCAAAAAACTGCCAGAATATACAAGCAAGAATTTCAAAACTTTTCAGATTACTTTTAAAGTACTTTAATAAATTGGAACACATTTTTGCATGCCTCAAAAAGACACCTTTTAAAAGCAGGGTGATGCTGAATATCAACAAGCTTCCCTTTTCAAGGGTCCCTGCTCAGTTCTCAAGGTAGTTTTAGTTATCAGACTGTTCCCACCCTAAAGAACAATCCAGATCCAAATTGCTGACATGCTCGTTCTGCAGAAGATATAAATCAACCCCAAATGATTGTTTTGGTTCCAGTAGGTCTCGTCAATGACGTATAGCTGATATCACTCTAGGCCAATGGTAGGCAATCTTCAACACTCCAGATATAATGGACTACATCGCTTCCTGACTCTTTGCCTAAATTATGGCTGCAAGAGTATTATAGAGGATGTATTCCACACCACCCGGAGAGGCCCTGTTTGAATCAAGTAGCCTCATACAGGAGCACTTCTGATTGGCTAAGAGTGTCCACTGATATTCTAAGCCAATCAGTAGCTGCTCATTCATAAAAACATTTTGGAAAAAAAAATGTACCTTTCACAAGTCGATTTGTGAATGGGGTGCTACTTTTTGGCTTATTGTGTCAACTGACACTTTTAGTCAATCATTGGTGCCCCTGCCTGACGCTGTTCAACTTTGGAGATGCTCTGACCCAGTCATCTAGCCATCACTATCTGTCCCTTGACAAAGTCACTCAATCTTTTTGCTTGCCTATTTTTCCTGCTTCCAAAATGCGAAATTCTAAAACTGACTGTTCACTTGTTGCCTAATATATCCCACCCCTTGGCAGGTGCCATTTCAATGATATAATTACTATTATTCACTTCAAGGTTTTGGTTTTTTTTTCGTTTTTTTTTTTTTTCTTCACCTGTCAAGTTTATATATATATATATATATATATATATATAAAACACACACACACATACACACTGATCAGCAAAAACATTAAAATCGCTGACAGGCAAAACATTAAAAAAAGTGAGTGACTTTGATAAGGACCATATAGTGATGGCTAGATGGGCATCTCCAAAACAACAAATCTTTTGGGGTATTCCCAGTACATAGTGGTTAGAACCTACCAAAAGTGGTGCATGAAAGGACTACTGGTGAACCGGTGTCATGGTCATGGGCGTCCAAGGTTCATTGATGCATGTGGGAAGCGAAGGTCTGGTCCAATCACACAGAAAAGCTAATGTAGCTCTAAAATCTAAAAACCTGACCATGATAGAAAGGTATCAGAACACACAGTGCATTGCAGTTTTCTGCGTAATCGCAGGCTGGTCAGAGTGTTCATGATGATGTCTGTCAACTGCTGAAAGCACCATGGAACAATGGAAGAAGGTTGCCGGGTCTGATGAATCACGTTTTCTTTTAGATCAGGTGAATGGTCAGGTGCATTATGTTACTGTTATTTAACTGGGGAAGAGATGGCAGCAGTATGCACTATCGGAAGAAGTAAAGTTGGAGGATGCAGTGTTATGCTCTGGGCAATGTTCTGCTGGGAAACCTTGCATTCGTGTGGATGTTATTTTAACATGCACCACCTACCTAGAGGTGTTCATCCCTTCAAAGCTGTTCCTAGCTGGCAGTGGCCTCTTACAACAGGGTAATGCACCCTGCCACACTGCCAAAATTGTTCAGGGATGGTTTGAGGAATATGGCAAAGAGCTGAAAGTGTTGTCTTTGCCTCCAAATTCCCTAGATCTCAATCTGATTGAGCATCTGTGGGATGAGCTGCAACCATAAATCCGATACGTGGAGGCCGTACTTCGCAACTCGCAGGGCTTAACGGACATGCTGCTAATGTCTTGGTGCCAGATACCACATGACATGTTCAGAGGTCTTGTGGAGTCCATGCCTCGAAGCACACCAGCTGTGTTGACAGCATGAGGGGGACCTACACGATATTAGGCAGGTGGTTCAATGTTGTGGCTGATCTGTACATATTATATATATATATATATATATATATATATATACACGATAAAGAGAGAACCTTTGGGACTTTGTAGCAGTTAAACAAAGGTCACTTTAAATTCCATAGAGCAACAAAGTATAACACCATCAATTTGACAGAGTTATACTTTGTTGCTATGTGAAATTTAAAGTAACCTTTGTTTACCTGCTACATAGTCCCAAGAGTGCTGTCTTTCTCACTGATTGTGTAAAGGCCGAGAGCACACATGGGTGGACTAAGTTATGGAGACAATTGTTGGCTTTATGACCTATTATACATATATGATGATTTATACAAGGAGTGAACTCATAGGACTTAAAGGAACACTCCAGCATTAGAGAGTAATGCATTTACTTTTAACGATTGAGTAGAACATTTTTTTTTTAAGATTTAGCACCACTCCAGTCTGTGTGTGTCCAAAAAAAATTATAATTACATGCATCTAACACAGGGGCAAAACCATCTTGTAAGTACAGCTCTGCTCCTTGAACTAGTGATATTATACCAGCCAATCCAATGTATTCAGTGCATTGCAATCGCTTAAATCTACTAATCTAAAATCAATGCTTTTCTATTAGACGCTCTCACTGCCGATTTAAATGAGTGTTCAAAGCAAATGAGGGAAGCAACCTTCCTGGCTATCTATTTGACAGCCAGGAAATGTTACCAAAGGGTTCATAAAATACCCGTTTTGCCTCCTTCAAGGACCCCAATAGCATTGGTATAGGAATCTTGGGGGGGACAGCCTTCCACAAAAATCCCAGCTTAGTCTAGGGATCATACATTAAACTAAGCATATTTCTACTGGCAAAATGTTATATTATCACTAGGGGGTCTATTTGGTAGAATGGGATAGCCAGCTCTTTTAAAATATGCTTTGTTTTTCTTATCTTTCTGAAACAGTGAAATATATGATTTTAGCAACTACAACAGATTTTCTGGCTGGGATTTCATCACCCCATCCCCTACATTCATACAGAGACATACACTAACAGTCACACACAGAATACTAACACACTGACACAAATAAACACACATCCAAAGACACATATTAACACACACATACACACACTAACACGCACACAATTTTATATTCCTCTCCTTAATATTCCTCTCCAACAGGGAGGGAGTGGATAGGTAATGGGCTTCAGTACTGAGCGCCCATGGTTTGGGGAGTAAAAGAGCTGACCAGCACAACTTTCCTTTCATCTCATCCTCTGGTATAGGACATGCTGTGGGTTCCCGGATATAACTTCACGTCTGAGCACCCACTTTTTTTTACTGACATATCACTGCATCGAGTGGGCCACGATTGTAGGAGCCACACTTGAGTGGCTCCTACACTGACGTGTTGCCTGTACTCATGATGTCTAAGTGCTTTCCCCACCCACAGGGAGCCACAGGTCAACGACGGTGTGTGCAAGAGTTGTGCCTGGTTTGAGCAGCAACACCTGAACCCACTATTTAAGAAAACACTCCACATACCATAACCACTGTAGCTTGCTGTAGTGGCTATAACGGTAGGATGCCCATACTCCCCCCCACCCCCTGCCCACCAATTCCATGCATTTCATTCTTTAAGGTGCCTACCATGTTCCTTTAAAAATAATGCAATGTAGGTTTTCTAGTAAACACTAACAGTGCTGTGTATAAAAACACATATTAAGTGGTTATTTACTACACACCAAATTGTAGGGAACTGAGATAGGAAAAGAAATAATTAGAATCAAATTTCCAACTCACCTATAGCCCCAGGGCCTTCACACACTGACAACATGCTGCTATTGATAAAGCCCAACAGGCGAAACGCGTTTGGTGGCAGAAGGATCAGTCACAAACTGAAATCCCACTAACAGCAGTCGTTTCACAAGACCCGGAAGGACTTCATTCTTCAGACTTTCAGGAACTGGAACAAAGCAGAGACCCTGACTAAAGACCAGATTATTTGCAGGTCCTATTACTGGAGGATGACCACGTATTAAAAACTCTTTTCTTTTTTTATTTACCCGAATTATACCAGTATAAAGAGAATTTTCATATGAACTTTGAAAAGCTGCTAGACATTAAAGCTGCAAGTTATGTATTGAATTTAATTGTTATTTTGTATACTGTTATTTAATGAATGTGTCAATGTATGATTTAGCATGTGCACATGTTTTAGTTATGGGATTTTACTGATTTGTTTTATTAACTGAATACACAGTATTAATTTCAATAAATAATTTATTTTAATATTTAACTAATCTGTTTATCCTGCATAATTTTTCCACTTTACCATTTCAGGGTTCCCCTCCATTACCCTTTTTTCTTTTCTTTGTGTATTCTTACATTTTATGTATAGCCCCAGATTGGCTATTTATTGTTGTCCTGAATGTGCAGCTTGGATTGCAGCTTGCTATTAGTTTAGAGAATAACCCTATTAACAAATGGATTCCTTAATTCACTAAATATTGTTTGTTTTTTTCCACAATCAGTAAATTGCAGTGAACTGAAAACTGAATTAAACAATGTAGGCTAAAACTGGCAAGCTGGGACTATAGCAGAGTTTGATTCCTTTAAAATCTACTAATTTTATATATTTTGCCATTTGTTTTTCAATGCGCTGTTTAGTAAATAGACAGAACATAACAAGCATGCATATCCCCATACTCTCTCTAAGAATAACCTCCCTGCTGGCTTTTTCATTGTAGTTTTAATTTTTGTAGCTCTATCTTCCCAGAGCTCTGTCTCTATAGCATAGCCCCAGACACATATTTAGTGGATGATGCGAAGTCACTCCCAGTCCTCCCTCCTCCTCTCCCTCTTTATAAAGAGCCCGGCCCTGGTTGCCCTATAGAGGTACCGGCTACACCTGCTGGGTGAGAGGGAACATGAGCAGACAAACCCTGGGTCTTCTTGTCCGAAGTTTCAGGTAACCCGCACAGCCTGGGTAGATGTAGAGGGTATTATAGTGTACAATGCTGCTGTGGATGGAGTCATGGAGAGATACAGGCTCGGAGACCATGCTTCTTGCTCATGTGTAAAGACCTCCCATCCCTGAGGCAGGAAGTGCAGGCATAGCAGGGTATTACATGGGGGTCAATGATATACACACTGTTATTACATGGGATTCAATGATATACACACTGTTATTACATGGGATTCAATGTATACACACTGTTAATACACGAAGTTCAATGTATACATACTGTTATTACATGGGATTCAATGTATACACACTGTTATTACATGGGATTCAATGATATACACACTGTTATTACATGGGATTCAATGATATACACACTGTTATTACATGGGATTCAATGTATACACACTGTTAATACACGAAGTTCAATGTATACATACTGTTATTACATGGGATTCAATGTATACACACTGTTATTACATGGGATTCAATGATATACACACTGTTATTACATGGGATTCAATGATATACACACTGTTATTACATGGGATTCAATGTATACACACTGTTAATACACGAAGTTCAATGTATACATACTGTTATTACATGGGATTCAATGTATACACACTGTTATTACATGGGATTCAATGATATACACACTGTTATTACATGGGATTCAATGATACACACACTGTTAATACACGAAGTTCAATGTATACACACTGTTATTACATGGGATTCAATGTATACACACTGTTATTACACGAAGTTCAATGTATACATACTGTTATTACATGGGATTCAATGTATGCACACTGTTATTACACGAAGTTCAATGTATACACACTGTTATTACATGGGATTCAATGTATATACACTGTTATTACATGGTATTCAATGTATACACACTGTTAATACACGAAGTTCAATGTATACATACTGTTATTACATGGGATTCAATGTATATACACTGTTAATACACGAAGTTCAATGTATACATACTGTTATTACACGAAGTTCAATGTATACATACTGTTATTACATGGGATTCAATGTATACACACTGTTATTACACGAAGTTCAATGTATACATACTGTTATTACATGGGATTCAATGTATACACACTGTTATTACACGAAGTTCAATGTATACACACTGTTATTACATGGGATTCAATGTATATACACTGTTATTACATGGGATTCAATGTATACACACTGTTAATACACGAAGTTCAATGTATACATACTGTGATTACATGGGGTTCAATTGTATACAAACTGTTATTATTTGGGCTGTTGAGTCTTAATATACATTTTGGAAGGGAACAGTGGGTAGTGTTGGCTTACTTAAAGGGCCAGCACTGTGTGCAGTACAGACAGATGTATTGTGTGATTAGGTCCAGTATAGACAGATGTGTTGTGTGATTTAGGTCTGGTTTAGACAGATGTATTGTGTAATTTAGGTACAGTATAGACAGATGTATTCTGTGATATAGGTACAGTATAAACAGATGTATTGTGTAATTTAGGTACAGTATAGACAGATGTGTTGTGTGATTTAGGTCCGGTATAGACAGATGTATTGTGTGATTTAGGTACAGTATAGACAGATGTATTCTGTGATATAGGTACAGTATAGACAGATGTATTGTGTAATTTAGGTCCAGTATAGACAGATGTATTGTGTGATTTAGGTACAGTATAGACAGATGTATTATGTGATTTAGGTACAGTATAAACAGATGTATTATGTGATTTAGGTACAGTATAGACAGATGTATTCTGTGATATAGGTACAGTATAGACAGATGTATTATGTGATATAGGTACAGTATAGACAGATGTATTGTGTAATTTAGGTCCAGTATAGACAGATGTATTGTGTGATTTAGGTACAGTATAGACAGATGTATTATGTGATTTAGGTACAGTATAAACAGATGTATTGTGTGATTTAGGTCCAGTATAGACAGATGTATTGTGTAATTTAGGTCCAGTATAGACAGATGTATTGTGTGATTTAGGTACAGTATAGACAGATGTATTATGTGATTTAGGTACAGTATAAACAGATGTATTGTGTGATTTAGGTACAGTATAGACAGATGTATTATATGATTTAGGTACAGTATAAACAGATGTATTATGTGATTTAGGTACAGTATAGACAGATGTATTATGTGATTTAGGTACAGTATAGACAGATGTATTGTGTGATTTAGGTACAGTATAGACAGATGTATTAT